CTGTTTTTGATTTTTTATATCAGTTTAATATAAGTGGTATGACGTTACACTCCATTACAAATTAATGATATTTATTCACACTCCATGTTTATTTATTTTTCTGAAGCCGCAACAACGTTTGACCTTGATTGCTTCGTGCTATTTCAGAAAATAGTTCGATAAATATAAGCCCGTGTTATGAAAAATAGTTCCCACATTTCCTGAAATAAATCGAGATGCGCCGTGATTGGTTGTTTGTTTTTTTGTTGTTAATCTGGGTTAGAAAGGGCTGGCTTATATTTGAGTTTACTTCTGAAAGTATTTACAGAAATGCTATGCAAAATGTTTTACAAAATATTTCCGTAAAACATTTCGGGGATAGTGTACTTATTTTTTTCTTTACATGCTATATTAAGTTAAAACTTCAAAACTTCAGTAACATGAATAGTGAAGTGTTTTGGTGTATTGTAGTGAATTCGTTTTTCATTTTGCTATCAAATAATTTGTCGTAATGTCCTTAGTTTAGTGTTAATTATTATGATCTCTGTATCTATTGTATACGGTACATTTGTGGTCACAAGGCATTCAAACATTTCTGTTAGAACTATAGATGTTATAAAGCTTGATTTGGCACAACAAGGTTTACAGTACGGTAATTGTTAACAAAGACGGCCAGGCTCCTTTGATGAGCTTTAGGGAGACCAAATGCATAAGAGTTTGGCATTCTCTGGAACAATGGACGTAATACGGATCTTGTGTTTTGCAAAGTTCAGTATAGGGAAAGCCTGGTCAGACATTTATTTAAAAATATGCTTTGATATATATTATTGATGTATATCATTTTAGTTCAAATGTAATGAATATTTTACAGATGAACGTGGTACAAAGTTTTTCGACTATTTCTTCAAGCATTTTTTCGTCTTCCACTTCTGACAGAATATTTAATTCATGTTCATTAAATTTTTGACATATTGCTGATTTTCTCACTTTATATTTAAAACCACTGTTGCTGCTCATTTTAACTAAAGTACCATATCGGTTTACAGGAACATTAGAAGAAATCGTTTGTCAACTGGACTGGACCGACAAAGGATTAAAAATAGATAAAGAATATTTTAACCATCTAAGATTCGCTGATGACATAGTCCTAATTGCCAAAAGTCCTGAAGAACTACAAGCACAAATTAATGAACTAAATATAGTTAACAATAAAGTGGATCTCGAAATGAATATAGCAAAAACTAAAGTAATGTACAACGAACTAGTGGAAAGAAAGGACATTCTAATAAATAACATTACACTGGAAATAGTAGAAGAAATATATATTTAGGACATCTAGTACACATCTCGGGATCTCTACTACAAGAAATCAACAGAAGAATTAAGTTAGCATGGAGTATTTATGGAAGAAACTCAATCATATTCAAATCTAAAATGTCATCTCTAAAGAAGAATACATTCGACCAATGTGTACTGCCAGTCATGACCTATGCTTTGCGAAACCTGGACACTTAAAACGGACATCATAAGGAAACTGCAGGTCGCACAACGCTCAATGGAACGAAATATTTATGCTGGTAATAACCAAGAGACACCGTAAAAGAATAGAGTGGATACGACAAAAGACCCTGCTAATAGATGTCATCTACAAATCAAATGGTCAAATCCCTCAAATGGCAATAGGTAGGACACCTGGTAAGAAAGACAAACAACAGATGGACAACAAAAATTACAGCATGGTACCCACGAGAGACCTAGCGGACCGACAGACCCTAGAGACCGAACCTGAGATGGGACCGCCATTATCCAAAATGTCTACTAGGTCATAGGAATGATACCGCTCATAGATAAAGGGATAAAAACTGCCCACAGTCCGATAGTGCATTTCCGAATCGATATTCATTGTGTACTTTATTGTTTATAGTGAATGGCGTCAATAGTTTTCAGTTGTTTGATGTGTGTTTTCTTTATTATATTGTCCATTTATCTCTCTTTGTCGGTTGCATTTTATTTTCTATTCCTTTTATCTATGATTTTATACGTTCTATCTACGTCAGAGGGATGCTATTCCGCTTCGCTCCTATTGGTCCAAAAGTTACGCGACAACCTTACCTTTTATTAGCCTTGCCCTTTTGGCGGTTTTTTTAAGGTTATGTCCCCTTCTCTCAGTGTCACCAACCACAACTTTCAAATACTATTTAAGCTGCCTTTACACTACTAGAAATTTTATCAAAATGTAAATACATGTTAAGTTTAATTCTATATTCTCTTTAATCCTATAATAATTTAATCTATAGAACCGCTATTATACGTCCTTAATATGATCTCCTTATCACATACATTTTACATTCATCCTTTCTATCGTAGATTCTACAAATCTGCATAAACATCGAAATATTAAGGAATAGGAGTTATAATAATATAACGAACATATATTGCGATTATATAAATATATTTGCGAGATTCGTTTTGGTGAAATAAGTCTAAATAACATTTTTAAAATATACAGTGCGTCCAATGTGCCAAGAAAGCTCCATATCAGGAGTTCCATTTAAGATTTTAACTTCATTTTTTTGCCAAGAGAAGTTCATTATTTCGTTTGTTTTAATAATACGAGAGCTAGCAACGTCGGGAAAACAAGTATTTTAAGAAAGCTGGCTCTTTAATATATCGTTTACTAGGCCCTCCGGAACAGCATGCAGCCCGTCTGGCTGCCGGTAAACGTTGCGTTCCCTACTGGGCATTGAAAGAATATCCTATATTTTTATTAGTCCCTTAAATTCTAGTATTAAATATAAACCGACCGAGTCTCCATAGCTCAGCGTGTAGAGGTTCCGCCTATCAAGCGAGGATTCAGAGTTCGAGACCGGGTCAGGGCAAAAATTTTTTAAAAAAATGTGGCGGATTCATCTCTCCAAAAAATCCTTTATGGGTATTTCGCCACTGCACTGCAAGAAAAATCTACAAAATAGAATAGTTATTTTTTGTAAACACTTCTGCGTTAAACCTAAACGGACACAGCTTGTCAGAAGTTATGTTTACAGTAATAAACATTTGCCTAACAAAGAAAAAAATGCTTAACGTTTCGGAAAGTTTATCTCTTTCCGTCGTCGGAAGCAAAAAATACAAAGAATAAAGAAAAAAAATATTTAAAATATTTAAATTCAACTATTCGAGAACACTTTACTTTTTTTAATACAGATACGTCTACAAGAAACCGTTGACGTTCTGTTAAAATAATTATCGTTTATTTTAACAGACAATTTATGTACAATAAAAAAGTTATAGGGAACGTTATGATACACAATTTAAAATAATTATTCTTGAGTACACCAGGTGCTTTAAAAGTGTAGCGAACATAGCATATGTTTTTTTAGTGTAACCTTTATTTTTATTTTAGTTTCTGTGGAAAATTCTATAACTTTTGTATACATACAATTATTAACCTAACACTATTAGTTTTTGTAATATTTCAATTTGTTTAAAGAAATTACAGGTTTCAATATGGTAAAGAAACTTCGGTAACGCTATTGTTTCTGAAGTTGGAATATCAAATTTGGTAGGATAAAAAATTTGGTACTCATATCATCATACCCAAATCATTATACCATACCTTGATCATCATACCAAATCATGATGATTAAAAAAAATATATAGGGAAATTAAAACAACTTTGGGTGCGCGTCATCAATGACACCATGCGTCGTCTATGGAGTTTGCTGGTGGTCGTATTATGATGTGCAACCAAAATTATTTCAATTTCCTTATATGTAAGGTTATTTCAATTAGCAGCTACAGGGTGTTCCAAATCCATTTATGAGTTTCGACCATTAAAAATTAAACAACCTGAATTTTTTAAATGTTACACCATACCGGGTGCGTCTCAAAAGTGGCTCACCCCTATAACTTTTTTATTTTTTTAGATAAAAAATTGAGATTTAGTATGTTAATATATGACATAAATTAGGATTGATTGACGTATTCAATCGTTCTGTGTCACTTCCTGTTTCGCCGGAAATGACTACAACTTTTGGTTTTTAAATGGTACCGGTTTTTTGTTGCTTTATTCGATAGAAAATGATACTCTGAATAGAATGACATATCATATGTCAACTTTGACATTTTCGCATATGGTTTATTTGAAATTATAATATGCGGTTCATAACGATAATTTGACTCGAAATACCAAGTGTGTAGTATCATATTATTCGTAAAAAATGCCTTTTCCAAATATGCTAATGAGCCACCCTCGTTCCATATGAAAAAATTGAGATGTGATTAAAAATACGATTTGGGCATCTTTTAACCAGCCAGGACAAGACACGAATAACATTAGACGATCAAATGTATTTTTCCAAGGCTCCATGATTAAAAATTAGTGTTTTTAACACAGCCATGGCACTCTAGATTGAAATTTAAAATTCAATTTTGTTTTAAACAAAAATGTCAAAAGTTGACATATGATATATCATTCTATTCAGAATGTCATTTTCTATCGAATAAATTAAAAAAATACCGGGGGTGCCATTTAAAAATCAAAAGTTGTAGTCATTTCCGGCGAAACAGGAAGTGACGGAAAACAAATGAATCTGTTTTTTTTTATCTGAAAAAATAAAAAAGTTATAGGGGGTGAGCCACTTTTGAGACGCACCCGGTATATCATCACTTGGTCAGATAGATTTATTACCAATTTTTAATAGTTAATAGAGATCTTTTCTGCTTTTTATTGTTCGGTACCTCAAAAAGAAAAAAACGGAACACTTATAGGATTAGGTTATTTCAGTCCGTCAGTCGGTCTGTCATTTATGTCTCTTACCTATATTTTTAATACACTTAAGTTAAAAAATCCGTATAGTTCCCGTAGCAAAAAGTAATAATAATTATCAAAACTTTCAAGAATACTTTCTTATAAAATAATCTTATATCTAATTTTAAGATTTTCGAGTTAAAGCACATAATAAACTAAATTATATTCTTTGTAAAGACTAATACTACTTAATAATACATACTAAAATACTTACATTTTTGTATTGTCCACAGAGAGCAAGATAGAGTCTAAAAGATGAACCGTCTTTATGAAATTCCTTCTCCGATGATTGCGTGCCATTTCGTTGTTGAATGCCTGAAAAACGAAATAAAAATGTATTAACTTAATACAAATAAAAAGAAAACAGGATAACATTAGTCACAACGTGAATAAAAATATACCGTCATATTTTACCTAGCTTCAACTAAGTGCACCAAAAGAACTCTCCTTTGATATGTAAATGACCTTCATTTTAAAAATTATATTAAAGTTAAAAAATATTATAACGATGTCTCTATGTCTTTTTTTGATGTCAGCCAATTTGAAAAATAGACGTTGACATTTTTTTCCGATTTTTTCAGGCATAGCAAAATGTACGATTACAAATCTGGTGGAGACATATAACGAATAAAAGTATTGAATAATGGAATTGACATATCCATTATACCTGTTTTTTTTATACAATGGGTCAAATAGTTCAGTTTTTCCAGAGCCAAGGAAGGAATTACTAGAGTCCTATACTCCCAGTTCTCTTCAAATTTGTTGTAAATTTTAACAATACGATAGTAGTATTAGTATTTAAGTCAAAAGGAATGAACTGAATGTCTTATATTTTTTTCAAATGTTTCGTAAATATAAGGTGGATTTTCCGAAAACGTAGACCTGCCATGGCCAAATTGTGAAATATCTTCATCAAAATTTGCACTTTTTCTGTAATTTTAAATTTTCCCTGCAAATTTACACTTTTATTGTAAATTTACACTTTTCTGTAAATTTACATTTTTTCTTTAAATATACAATTATTTGTCTGTAAGTTTACACTTATTTTGGCAATTGCAACTAATGCTGCTAATTGATCCACGGTCTTGTATCTACGTAGGTACTGTTTAGTATGTTTATACTAAATGTTTTTCTTACTAGTGTTATTATATTTTGAAAAAATTGAAGGAGAAATCTACTTAAAATACTAGTTACCGAATCTCTTCAACTAGTGATAGATCTGAGTGGCACACGGCTTTTTTGTGAATTTTTGGATATCTAAAGGATTGTTCACCACATACGACACGGAGTATTGTAGCTCAATGATTAGATTTTAACAAATTGTAAGTTTTGGGTTCATTGAAGGACTATTAGAGCTACAATTTAAAAATATTTTTACAAGATACAGAGTGTCCCAAATAAATAAAAAATATCAAAGTTGTATTTCTTTAAACAGAACACCCTGTATATTATTACATTTTTAGTTTCTACGATTAAAATTAAGGTAAATTTGATTAAGGTTTATTACACTTAAACCTTACCGTTTTTGAAATATTTTCAATTGTGTGAAATTGCAGTAAAAATTTTAAGGCTTCATTTCTCCAAGGGTATCAAAGTTTTTAATACTAAATATTTACTGAAGTCTATTTATTGATCAGTTATCGTGTTGCAATAATAAAAATAATACTACCTCATACAGAGTGTCTAAAAGTTTATTTTAAATTATTTCTAGCTTTAAACGGCAATAACTTGTTGAATTTAAACGGAACGCCCTGTATATTTTAGGAGAATCAGATGCACAATTTAATTGTCTATCAAACTATATTATGCCACTTTTTACCTATCCCTTCAAGTTTTCTTAGAAAATGCATTTTCTTGCAAAATGATAATATTACTAGCCCATTTGTATGCAAAAAGAAAACTATTTAAATCTTTATAAAAGAGTATACCATTAACTAAATATACCACCATTATTTCCGCCCAAATACTAATTAATTACATACTTAATTATGTTCGTTAATAAATGATTCTAAATAAATGTGGATTTGAATCAGAAATCAATACAATAATAAGTTATGAAAATGAATATCTTTGTTATTATAAATAAGCATTTGTCAAAAAATTAAATATCATTTTTAAGGTGTTACTTTTTATCACACTGTCTAATACACATACAAAATTCAGTATTTTAGTATTTGGAGCAATTATTATTAATCAACGTAAACAGTCAATTAATGTAGTTTGAATACTGGAATCTTATTAATTGGTCCTCTTTAACAAATATTTAAACAGTTCTTTTTTAATTCTTAATGAAATAAACAAATTATATCGATAATATTAGTATCTGTACTCTTTAAAAATTTGGTACATCTTTAAAAATAATCTAAAATGTCAGAATTTCATGGATATATAGATAAATGAGTTTTAAATTACAAGAAAATGCATTTTATACGGAAACTTGAAGAGATAGATAAAAAATGGTATAATACAGTTTGATAGACAATTAAATTGTGCATCTGATTCTCATAAAATATACAGAGTGTTCCGTTTAAATTAAACAAGTTATTACCGTTTAAAGCTAGTAATTATTTAAAATAAAATTTTAGACACTATGTATAAGGTAGTATAATTTTTATTATTGCAACACAATAACTGATCAATAAATAAACTTCACTAAATATTTAGTATTAAAAACTTTGATACCCTTGGAGAAATGAAGCCTTAAAATTTTGACTGCAATTACACAAAATTGAAAATATTTCAAAAACGGTAAGATTAAAGTGCGGTAAACCTTAATCAAATTTACCTTTATTTTACTCGTAGCAACTAAAAATGTAATAATATACAGGGTGTTTCATTTAAAAAAATAAAACTTTGATATTTTTTTATTTATTTGGGACACTCTGTATCTTGTAAAAATATTTTTAAATTGTAGCTCTAATAGTCCTTCAACGAACCCAAAACTTACAATTTGTAAAAATCTAATCGTTTATCCAGTTATAATCCAGTTAGACCAGTCGTCTCGTATATAAATGCTCCCTCTTATAAATTATGTCAAATACTAGCTAAAACAAGTGTTTTGGGAGGAAGTCCTCCCATGATCAATTTTCAATCAAAATTTGCCATAAAGAATTCTTTTGAGTTGCTAGATAATTTAAAAAATATTGAAGTTCCACATAATGCAACACTCGTTTCTTTCGATGTCAAAAGCCTGTTCACTTCTATCCCAACCCATGAATTGTCCTCTATTATTTATGAACTAATTGATAAATCTAATCTTAATATAATAGTAAAATCAGATTTAATAACAATAATTGAAACTTGTTTAGAACAAAACTATTTTCAGTATAACAATGAAATATTTAAACAGAAAGATGGGTTACCGATGGGTCCCCAATTTCACCGTTATTCGCAGAAATATTTATGGCAGATTTTGAAAAGAAGCTATTTAAAAACAAGAGTAGTTTAATATCAAAAATAAATTATTGGGCAAGATATGTAGATGACATTTTTGTATTTGGTCAGGCACCGAGAGAAATTTAAACAGTTTTTTAACATTATTAAATTCAATTAACCCGAGAATACAATTTACTATTGAAAAAGGTATTAATACCATCAATTTTCTTGATGTTACAATTATAAAACAGTCTAATAGATTACAATTTGATATTTACAGGAAACCCACTACCACAGACACTGTAATACATAGTCAATCACACCAATCCTGGCAAATCAAAATGTCACCCTTTCATAGTTTAATTCATAGATTAGTAATGTTTCCACTGAGCCCAGAGAATTTTAAAAAAGAGTTAAATATTATTAAACAGATCGCCATCAACAATGGATATAAGTGTTCCCTTATTGATAATATGCTAAAGAAAAAACAAAACAAAATATTAATGAAAAATTTTTAATCCGCTAATTCTAAAGACAATAACAATTATCAACCTTTAAACTACATTCCTAATTTAACTAACAAAATATCAAATAATCTCAATAAAATAGGATGTAAAACTATTAACGTAAATAAAAGAAATTTAGGTCAAATTTTATTAAATAATAAAGACAAAACTAATGTCAAAAATAAGTCGGGTGTATATAGGGTGGATTGCAATACTGTGATGCCGTGTACATAGGCCAAACAGGTAGAAATTTAGATATAAGGATTAAAGAACATGTAAAGTCTATTAAAAATCTCCAGCATAGTTCTGGTCTTGCAACTCATTGTATAGTAAATAATCACAAAATTAATGAAAACTCAATTAAGTTACTACACAGAGAAACAAAAGGTAAACGCTTAAATACATTGAACAGTTAGAAATACTAAAATCTGTTAAAAACGAAAATAATGTTAACGACCAACAAGGATTTCTAAACACATTTTTTATTACCCCTATTGTAAACTCTCTGAACCCACCCCCATAGCAAATATATATATAGTTACAGTGTAGTTAGACGATTAGTTCTTAAAAAACTCTTGAAAAAGGCCTAACAAGCCGAACCATATATGTAGAGTTAAAGTTACTCTTATTAAAAGTTTTTTGAAACATCTAAAAGCGTGCTTTATTAAAATACTAATAATAATGGTTTAGCTACAATACTCCGTGCCGTATGTGGTGAACAACCTTCTATAAAGAAGTGATGGTTTACTACGATGTTCTAACATTATCAGAGATACAATTCTGAAATTTAAATAAAGTTCGGTAGATTTTTCCTTCTTTTAATTTTCTTAGTAGGGTTACTAATGATCTACTTTTTCCTTTTAATATAGGAATGTCTGTTTTTTCCTTTATAGCACTAGTTTCTGGATGTTCTTTAGCGGTGTTGCCACTAAGGTAGAAAAAGGCAAAAAAAGTGTGAATTTACGTATGAGACACGAAGCATAAATTTTATTATAAATATTTTCCAAGTTGGCATGACAGCTCTATGCTTTTGTATGCTTTAGTAAATTGTTGTCACACTGTAGAACAGTAATTAAATCGTGGAAATTTCTGTAATAAGTTTGTATATTAGAAAAATGGACAGACTAGGTATTAATAAAAAAAATAACAAAAAATAGTTCTACAGTATGTCCCCGGATTTTTATTATTGGCATTTTGAGAAAAAATCATTCTTCATAAACATTTTTGCTTGTTCTAAAATGGTTAATCCCGTTTGTACTTTTCCAAATTTCCATACTGTTTTAGAGAAAATTAGAAAAAACATGAAAATATGTTTGAATTTTTTCCAAAAAATAAAAAGGCGTTTCTCTGGTAATATAATTTCGATTTTATTCTTTGATAGATGGTTATTATTAATTTTGAATAACGTCATATTTTTTGCTGTTGTTAAAGTAT